TGTGTGTGTGTCTGTGTGTCTGTGTGTGTGTCTGTGTGTCTGTGTGTGTGTCTGTGTGTGTGTGTGTGTGTGTGGCGGTGGGGGGTTGTTGTTGCTTCCTCCCCCTCTGCCATATACATCCCAGCACAACTCAGGGCTGGAATTCAGTGCTGAACTGAAATACAGGGCTTACAAGGTTATACATTTTTGTGGGATTTTTTTGGTGTTTGTTTTTGTTTTTTTTTTTTACTGCCTAAATGAAAAACAGACATGACAACGCAGCAAGGTATTAACATCTTAGAAATTTTTAAGGCACATTCCAACAAAATAAACTTTTATTGAATGCAGTATTAGGCATTCTATTTTGTTTAAGGGAACAGTGCTTCCCCCCCAAAGAGATTCCCTTTGACAATTTCTAAAAGTTGTATTTCAGTTACAGAAATATTTCTCATGTCAAGAAACACAAAACTTCAATCTAAATTTTTCTTGAATTATGAAGTGCAACTAAGTCCTTCCAAATTATGATGGTTTTCAGTAGGCACTAGAATGAGAAACCTGCAGATTGTTTACAATTGCTAGGTACAATGTTATGTTAATTCAAATTTTATACTAACCCATCTACTGTTGTCTTGAGGAATTATATAAAAAGTGGCATTTAAGAATAAAGAAATGCAGCTTAAAGAGCAGCTTATCACCATTAAAAAAAAAATCTTAATGGTAACCTGCATATTTAATGCATATTTAATTCCACAGTATGTCAGCTAGCAGAGGCATAGTCCAATAATTTAAAACTTTAGATAGGAATGTCTTTTGATTCTGAATGCAGATCATAGGTCATCATGTCCAGTAGGTGGAGGCTCAGTTGTTTCACTCTCTATTTCCTCTCCTGTGAAATTAAGTATCATAATTAGAATACAAATGTATTAATTACACTATATATTTTTTGACATCAGGAATTTTTTAAGAGAAACCCAAATCAACATATTTATCAAGACCAGAGAACCAATAGAGCCTTATAGAAGAGCTACTTGTACCAACCTCCTAGTCTAAGATTATAATTTTTTGAAATTTTACTAGATGCAAACTAAATATTTCAAATAAACTGGTAAGATACTGTTAGTGGAAGAAAAAAGCAGCACAGTTATTTCTACTCTAAGCACACTTCCTCCTTTCCACATGACCTGTCAGAAGAAATTCTGGTATTTGAAAACAAGTATTACTCAGAACTATTTTCTGTAGTGCAAACTGCTATGTTCAGCTGTTAAAATAGTCTTTAAAAAAAGCAGAGTAATTTTATTACACTGGTAAAATCATTAGTCTAAGAAAAAGCAAGCCTATTTGTCAACTTTTCATTTTGCTTTTATTCTCATTAAATGTCAGGCCATGTTTAAAGACATAGTAACTGATACCCTGAGTATCTCCACAGAAGTACAGAACTGATTTTAAAGGACTAATAACAGTGTGCACTGAGAATATAACGTCTGAACTTAATGGCCTTGAGTATTGATACTACATAGATCTTTACAAATTATTCGTACAAGATGAAAAAGCAGTCCAGGGAGAGGGGGGAACATGAGCACACAACGCAAAACCACCAAACAAGCTAAGCAGAAAGAAAATAAAGGTATGAAATTGAGTGTGTCTCATCTATTGTTCTACAACCTATATTGCAAAATAATCCTGTCTTTCACTTAGAAATTGTTAAAAAAGCTTTGATGGAGTAATGAAACACTAATGAAGGTAATCCTGCCCATAATGTGTCATACACCCTAGAGCAAAATACACTTCAATTTCTTGACTGAAGGTCTAGTTTAAATCAAGCTAAACAGTTTCTCATGACTGAAAAATGGATGTCTTCTCCATATTCACCTTCACACCAGCTCTGGCACTTCTGTAATCACTAAATAAACAAATTCAGCTTTCTCAGCCAGCAAAAAAGAATTCTGCTTAATTTTCCAATAATTCTGTGAGTTGAAGCAGCTTGCAAGCAATCAGATAAACCCTTAAGTTAATATATTTAACAATAAAGGAAAAAAGTGGGGGGGAGGAAGACCTCTTTTTTATGAGACCAGTAATTTGCTACTTTATGTAACGAAGCCAGACACTTAAGTGACTTATAAACACAACCTTGAGTTAAGCAAAAAAAAAAAATAGCAACACAAGAACAGGACATTTAAAAAATCCACTGTCTTTAATCAAGAAAACACGCATGCCAAAATATGGCCTACACGACAAACTACTTGACACAGACCACAGCTGTAAAAGGTAAGAAACTATACAGATGTCTACAAGTGACTAGACCCTTAGACAGAAATACACATTCATGTTGTCTATACAGCATATTTGTAAAAAAATCTGTTATTGAAAAGGCACTTGCCTGTTTTTAGCGTTTGAACACATGTTCCATCATTTTCTTCAAACCCGTCTGAACATACACACTTGTAACTTCCTGAAGTATTAACACAGTCCTGATTCTCTTTCACGCAGACCTTTTCAGGAAGGTTACATTCATCTACATCTAGAGATAGGATAGGGAAAGAAAGAACCCACTGCTGTTATTTTGTTATAATACTTACTGGTGCTCAGCCATATAATCAAAAATCTATTCAACTAAAAAACACTGAGGAGCAGAATGCTGCTGCAACAGATTTAACTTCTGTTAAATAATCTGTTACAGTTCTTCATGAGTTAGACTGCATTTCAAATTTATTCAGATAGTAGTGAGTTTTTTGTTTTGCAGGTCCCTATGTGAGGAAATTAATAGCATTCATTTTAACCTACTGAAGACTTCCCATAGTAATTTTCTATTGATGCCAAACTACAGCTAAGGTGAAGGGAGCCTGTAAATACATCGTCACAGTTATCAGATACTTAAGATCATGGGTATCTTCTACTCTTCCCCACAAGAGAAATTCCTGTTTCACTCCCTTTACTATCATTTCACACGTTACAATTCACTATGAATTAATATAATTTGAATTTGGACATTAATGGATTAACAGAAAGATAACAGAATCCACATTGCGTTCCTGCCTTTCTATTACAAAATGAATACAGATGCACACTTCTAATGAAGTGGTAGATAACTGACAAGAGACTCATGTATTTGTTTCCCAAACCTGCTATAAAATATTTTGTTCCTGTAGAAGTGTTTCAACTTTAAGCCTTGTCATGCATAATATAAATAACAAAGGAAGTTATAAGGAAAGCCTTTGCTGCTAATACCAGAATGACTGGATTCATTTTGATAGGCTTAAAAACTGAAGCAGACAAACGTGAATGTATGTAACAACTCCTCAGCATGGCTAACCAAAAGTGAGCTAACTGTTGTTCTACTGTGTGCTGCTAAATCCACCAACCTGTACACTTTTCATCTTCCTTCATGTATCCAGATGCGCAGGTCTTACACTTGTCAGAACCTTCCCCTGTGCAACCTATGCAGCTAGCATCACATGCTAAAACCAAAGTATTTTAAGCATAAAAATTAATATATTTGAGGTTTAAAGTCAGTCAACTTACCCACACAAGAAGTCACAGAATCACAGAATGGTTTGGGTTGGAAGGGACCTTAAGGATCATCTAGTTCCATCCCCCCTGTCATGGGCAGGGACACCTTCCACTAGATCATGTTGATCAGAGCCCCGTCCAGCCTGGCCTTGAACACTGCCAGGGAGGGGGCAGCCACAGCTTCTCTGGGTAACATGTTCCAGTGTTTCACTACTTTCTTAACTTATCTAAATCTACTCTCAGTTGAAAACTGTTACACCACATGCTATAACTACACTTCCTGATAAAGAGTCCCTCCCCATCTTTCCTGCAGGCCCCCTTTAAGTTCCAGAAGACTGTTATAAGGTCTTCCCAGAGCCTTCTTTTTTCCAGGCTGAACAACTTCAAATCTCCCAGCCTGTCCTCATAGGGGAGGTGCTCCAGCCCCCTGATCATCTTCATGACCCTCCTCTGGACCTGCTCGAGCAGGCCCATGTCCTTCTTATAATGGAGGCTCCAGAGATGGACACAGTACTCCAGGTGGGGTCTCACCAGAGTAGAGTAGAAATAACCACAAAAATCTCTTGCTCTCCTCGAGCGATGTCTAAAGCCTCATCCCCCCATGCCCAGTCAGAACCAGACCACACTGTACTAAATGCCTGGTACCATGCCCTTTCTAGCATTAGATTAGAATTATAGATGATAAACCACAACAGCAGATTTAAAAGAAACCTTTGCATGAGAAAGATCCATCTGTGTTCAAACAGTACTGGTGATCTTTGCAAGGAGAAGCAGCACACTCATCTAAATCTGAAAGATAAAAAGTGACAAGTTATCTAAAATAGTAGTCATGTTTAAATAGCCAGATTAATACTGGAGAGCTATGCTTTGAGCTCTTGTAAGAACTGGCTCTCAGATGCTATAAACTTAAACTGACTGCATTGAGAGTTTTACAAGGAGCTCAGGATCAGACATGCAATCTTAGACATAAAAGTAACATGGTAACATATACTGTTTTGTTCAGCTTAAACTTACATTAACAAATCAAAACTGATCCTCAGATGTTCTGCGATGACAATAAGACATATCAGAAATTCAAGAACTCAAATTAAATAAAACTTCGAGAATACCTGCCATCCTTGTAATTTTCAAGTCAGCATTTTGCATGCATTTATGTTTTTTAGGCAAATAGCATAACAAATAAGCAGACAGACTAGTCTTCTGGAATACTGTTGATTTCTCTACTCTTATACTACCATGCTATGGAACTTTTAAAAGTATTAAAAATGTTACGCAAATGCACACACATACACCACTTAGTCTTCTACACAAAGCAAATCGAAGAAAGCCGTTATGGTTAGGACCAGTTAAGTGAAAACCAATTCTACCTGGTAAGTTAAAACATGCTAGTATTGTGATTTCAAGGATAGGGCACAACAGCACTCGACTAAAAAATTCAGACAGAGAAAGGCTATTTCAGTCCCCTTGCTGTCTATCTCATTCTGTTCCTGTAGACATTACACCTACTCATTTCTTAATTTATACTTAATCAGTTGCAATCATTATTTGGTAAAAACCAGCTGTACAGAAGACAATACTGGAGCATCTTAAAAACATTCTTGGAACGTTCAACACTTGCCTAAGCAGGTATCGCAGGATCTGTAATTCAAATCCTAATTCTCATTAGCACTTTTAAAAAGAAGCAGTGATCAAATAATTTCTATTATAATGTTTTCAGACATTACATTAAGGGTCTTTAACAAGTCAAATTCAATCAGTTAAATAGAATGTGTTACTCTCCCCCTGGTGCATTCCTGCATTAGGACTATTTTTAGTATTTGGGTTTTCCTGAAGTGTTTCATACATATCACCTCATAAACCAAGAGAAATGCTAAGCTAGAAATAGATAAGGGATTAATGGAAGCACTGGCTTGATATCCCTTGGTATTTCTCTCCAATAATCACAAAAGTTAGTATGCCTGGCTTTTAGTGAAATGTTTGAACTCTTATTAGGGCTGAGCATTCATAAACATACAGTAATGTGAAAACACTTGTACAATTACTACAAAATATGCAGATAAATTGACAGGAATCTTTCAGTAGTTGACAAAATGGTTTCCATCAAGAGCAAGGCACTGTTCAGCATTCAAATAAAAACCATGGCATAAAAGGAACACCCCACTTGCTATCTGTATTCCACTAAATTACAAAGATACACAGTGAACAGTTTGATAAAGACAAATGTAATCATAAGGCAATCAGTGAGGAAGAAATACTGCTTTCCTGCAATGTGAAACAAATTAGAAAGAGTACAAACTAAAAAAATCTAAACTGACAGAACACTTCCATAAAATACCATAAAACTCGATATGACATCATCTAATCTCACTAGCCAACGTTGCTACAAAACCTGTTTGAAGTCTACCAAGCCTTACTCACCCACACAAACTGATTCTTCATTTTTAATCCAGCCTTCTTTACAGTCTTGGCAATCCTTGTTACTTGAACCAGTACACGTTTTACAGGCAGTGTGGCAGGCTGAGATAAGAAAAAACAATCTGAACATTGCTGAGAGATTCCAAGACAAGTTTAGGCACACAGATTCTCAAAGAAAACCTCATTTACAATTCACTGGAAGCCATCATATTTTAGTAGCTTGACCCTTCCATTTACAAGATTAAATCTTGACTTTACGGGAATATAATTTACAAAAATGCAGCTCTGTCCTACAAAAAAAAACCCAACATAGCCCCCAAACACCCAGGAAGCCAAATCCAGCAATTACAGATATCTGCACCACTTAAAACAGTGCTGCAAAATTCTAGTGACTAGAAGTGGCAGGTCCAATTTCCAGAATATTTGGGAACAGGAAATCAAGAAAGTGAACTCTGCTTGACCACTCACAGTTGGGACAATGGTTTAAACAACAGACTCAGCACTCCCACCTAACAAATCCTCAGACTAGTTTATTTGCAACTGCCTACAAGAGCTACGTGTGACGTGGTAATAGTCTGAAGAACTTCACAAGGAAACATAACAGAAGTCAAGTTGTATATGCATGTTTTATATATTACATGCACATATAACATGCAATATACAATATATGCATGTTATATAATGTAATATAAAACAAACCATGCAGAAGAATTACTACATAGCCAGATAAAGTTTGTCCTTCCTTCCCACCTCCCTCGTGACACAGATGAAGTCTGCTTCATAATTTAAAGGGAAAAAAAAAATTAAAAAATTATCAAGGGCAGTCTGGAAGGATGATTTAAGAAAATTTTAGAATTCCAAATTCCACCAAACTGACTGACATGTTTGGGTTTTTTTTTTTTTTTACATTTGTCAGTTTAAGTTGTTTCTAGTTTTGCTTACAAAAACTGAGGAAGGAAGACAAAAATCTAAGCACATGTCAAAGACTTCATTACCTGTACAAACGGAATGTGTCTCATTTCTCAAGGTACTGAAGTAACCATTAGAACAGTCCAAACAAAAATCTCCTGTATACTCCTTGTTACAGCTACATGAGCCATCTCCACCTCGGGTACCGTCACCATCACAGTGGCCATTTCCATGGCAAGGTCTTTCTGATCCACCATGACAAGCTAAAAAGAATTAAAAAAACCCCAACTTCTAAATCAGACTTAAAGGAAATAACTTCCTATTCTCAGTCACAACACCTGAATTGATTCCCTCTTCATAGACAGCGAAATGTTAAAAAAAAAAAAAAAAAAAAAAAAAAAAAAAAAAAAAAAATCACACTAAACCAAGATATATTTTCCAAAATCTTTTTTCCCTTGAGAGTAACCAAAAGGCTTGCAATAAGGAATGCTCAGCAATATACTCAAGTGTAAGAGGAACTCAAAAGAATCTCCAGGAAAGTTCAGTTACAAATTTAATTTTGGGCAAAGACCATGGCTTAGAATTTTATCTATTTTCCTAGTTTCCTATCTAAAGCTGGTATTTTTATTTATGCTGGATTGCTGAGAATGCTCATTCTGCAGTTGGAAAAACCTACTAGCAATCATTTAGGTTAATACTGGGAATTGGCACAATTCATAACAATATAAAAGGCCAAAACTGATCTCTAACAAGGCGCAAGGTTTTAGAGATTTATAAATTATACAAACTTCAGAGGCCAAAATTACTCCTTTATCACTTTTCCATCAAAGGCCTTACTCTTATCCAACTGTCTCCAACCTACTTTACTGAATTTCTCCCATTGCCTTTTTAACTAATCCTCAGTTGTGAATTTCTTCATTTAATCCCCAACAGGGTGTTTTGGCCTTTTACCCATGAAACTGGTCAAGGACTGTTGTCTACATAGCTTCTGAAAGGCCACCTACACAACAGACTTGATGTCACAGAGTCTTTGAAGCATGGGTCAGCTGTGGATGTGAGCATCAGATCAGATGGATTCTGTACACATAAGTACCCTTGACAGCTTTGTACATTACTTCATGACTTTTCTTCAGGTAGAATGGTCACAAGGCAGCTATATAACAGGCAGCAAGCTACTACACAGCAACTGCTGTCTTACACAAAATATCAGACTTCATGTATCTATGTTATGAAAGACTGAAGCAAACAGGTACAAAGAACAGAACTGCCACTGCATTGTTTCAAACAAAAAATTACCAAGGCAATCGGGTCCGTAAGTTCCAGCAGGGCAGCAAACTTCTATTGTTTCTATGCAAAACCATTGAAACAAATCAGGATACTTCTTCTTTCTGTATATGAAAGATATTAATTTATCAATAAAAAGAACAAAGAGCCAACTTGCACAATGCAGTAGAGAAATCTATTGCACATGACAAATTGGAAACCTATTTCTTCTGTCTGAAGGCGACCTTATTTCAGGAAAATAATTTCTAGAAATCAGCCTCCAGTTTAAGATTAATTTAACTTTAAAACTACAGTATTATTAATAGGACTCTACTCAAATTTTATAGACTGTATTTATGAAAAATATGAATGATACCCCCCCCCCCCCTTTTTTTTTTAACACCTTATTTTTAGGCAAGGTTTATATATTGTTTAGATCGTCTGTCTTAGGTCTTCCCTTAAAGATAACTGTTGTGCCTTTATCTCAAATATGCAGAAGATAACCCAGGACTGATATTAACATTTGCTCATATTATTGCCAACCTGACAATAGGGTGACTGTTAAAATTGCTCCTCTCTTTTAGACTGAATAAAGTATTGTTTTAGAAGGATTTTTAATATTAAAAAGTTAGTTATGTGCTATTCTAGCACTAGCATATACCTCCAAGTAACAATGAAATCGTCAGATATTATTTTGCAAGCAAGCCCGGGGACTACTACAGTTCTGAATGACAATTCACAGATCTCAGTATCATGATGATGCTGAAGTCTCAAAAACTTTACTAAAGGAAAGGCTTAGATATTCTGTAGTCTGAAAGAAGTCCAGCAACTCTAGAGACACGTACAGCTTCTCTTTCTAAACAATTACATCTGACCATATTGACTCCATGGCTCAGGCCCTTAAAAGTAAGATTACCAAGTACCACATGTAATGTAGCAACTTGTGAAAAAAAGTTCTAAGCTATTCATGGACAAAGAAACTGTCTTTGGAAACTACCACAGAAAATGAGATTTGGATATTGCAGGTTAAAGGACAGAAAGCAAAGTTAATCAACTGCACTCAAAAGGTCTATTAAGTACAGAAACTTTCCAAAGAAACAATGTATTCTATTAATAGTTTTGTTTATTTTAAGAAGTCTACTTTGTCAAATTCTTTAGTTTAAGACCCATTTCTTTCAGTTCTGTAAATTAAGACAAATTTAAGACTCTGGGTTGCACAGCTCACCTTTCTGGAAGGCATGTCCTGTGAGAAGCAGCTAAGGACTCTGGGCTTGTCTAGTTTGGAGAAAAGGAGGCTGAGAGACCACCTCATTGCTCTTTAGCTCCCTGAAGAGAGGAAGTGGAGAGGGAGGTGCTGATCTCTTCTCCCTGATATCCAGTGATATGATGCATGGGAATGCTTGAAAGCTGTGCCAGGGAACGTTTAGACTGGACATTAGGAAGCATTTCTTCACTGAGAGGGTGGTCAAACACTGGAACAGCCTTCCTAGAGAGGTGGGTCAATGCCCCAAGCCTGTCAGTGTTGAAGGGGTATTTGGACAATACCCTTAAGAACATGCTTTAAGTTTTCATCAGCGCTGAAATGACGAGGCAGTTGGACCACATGATCATTGTAGGTCCCTTCCAACTGAAATTTTCTATGCTATGTTATTCTATTCCCTTCAACTGGCATGTTAATGTATACTTTATCCTTTTACCTAACTATATAGGACAGTAAAATAAAGCAGTCATTAAGAGCAAAGTCGGTTATCAAAAATCCTTATGTAATGTTATAATGGCAGTTCACCCTATTGAATTCTATCTGATTGGGTGTGCTGACAGTCTAAAGTAGTAAAAAAATAAAACTTAGAAGAAACATGATTTGGCATTAATAAAAGATCTTAAGAAATTTAAATGTTATAATGCTATCCTTGCACTAATTATAACGGTATACGAAAAGCTAGTTATAACAGAAATCACAGACTAGCTTACAAGGCAGTAGAAAAGTCAGCTGCTTCACCACCATCCTCAAGAGATCCTACTTCTAGATTTATTAGTATCAACTATTTTTTTTGATTGCCAGAAAAAAGTATTTTTTTTCAGGAGGGAAAAAAAAAAATCAAACAAAAAACCCAGAAGAACCAGAGAGTCCCTTGCAGTTTTATGACAAAAGGAAAACAAAAAGGTTAATAGACTTCAAAGTTTTCCAATGTTAGTTTGCCTCAACACCCCAGTGGTAACTGAGCAGACAGTATATAAGAAGCCAGACTGGATGTTTTGGTGCAACAGTTCTGGAACTCAAAATAAAAAGAACACGGTACAGTGGCACATATTATTAAAAGTCATCCTGAACCCAGCTGTACCCAATGGCAACGCTCAAAGGATAATGAAGAATTACCCATACTGCTACTGTTCAGGCACAAGATTCAATGTTAGTAGTTCATCCTCTTAGATATCTTATCCACAGAGATCTCCACAAAAAAAAAAAAAAAAAAAAAAAAAAGCTTACAGTTTGAACCACCATTTCTCTATATGTTCTTCATGCTCTTCTACCATGTTGTTACATTCAAAGTTACTACTGTCGCACAGATTCTCTATGATCTCTACAAGACGAATCTCACTACAAGCAGAGAAGGAAAATCGTAATTTTAATTTAAACATTTGACAACACACAAGACATAACAGAGAAGTTAGACTTCAGCCTAAAACACTTTATCAGTTTATAGCGTGTTCTGAATTAGTTCCAAAACAAAGAAAATATCAGAATAAAGAACTAACGAACATTACTTCAACCAAAAAAAAATTAGGATGATCACAAGAAGCACTTCGGCGTGCTTGCATTCATTATGTCTGCAGATTGTAGGTTTGATAGATACTTAGCTTCCCAGCAAATTTTGAGTGTAGTATTTTTCTCCTAAATTCAACAATAAATTTCATGTATTGTTAATATTTGATGTAAGTCCACAAAGCTCACAGTAACTGAGGTTCAGAATTCCCACATTTGCATCTCAATGCTCCAACTGAGATTAAAAAGTGAGTTTGGAATTTGGAAGAAAGATACCACATCCCTTTGCTCAGAAATCAAACATACATACAAAAGTGTACAGTAATCTGCACCTCTTGTAGTTTTCTGTTTGGCACTGAAATAGTAACAACTCTAGGGAGTAGACACTGCTTTAATTCTAAAACAAGTTTTGAAGTACTCTACACCTTTTATGATTATCAATTAACTACTGACCATAATTTAAGATCATTGTTTTAGGATTTTGGGGTGAATAGAAAAAACTACTATGACCAACAATAGTATTAGTTTTTGTTGGTTTCAGAAACAAGACAAATAAAGACATTAATATAGTTTCAGTCTTTACTGTAATCTTTACTTTACAGCATAATGTTACATTTTAATCGGTAAGAATTTAAGGCTTGGATATGTGAAACTTCAGCTGCAATGTTCAGTATTTAAGTTCCAGACAAACACCAGTATGGTGAAATCATGCACAGTGGATGTGAAACATGGCCGAACGGCAAGTACTGAGACAGCTTACCTGGACTCATACTTTGACAGCGTCTTCTCTTCCCAAGCAGTGTTTCCACCACCAAAGTTCTTTTTAGCTGTATCTGCTAATCCCTACAAATGAAAAGTACCAAAAGAATGTAAATTACATAGGGTTTGTTTCCATCAAAAATTAAGGGCAATAGTAAATGCAGATAATGAAATTGTGAAAAGCACCAGTAACGAATCAGTAAAGCTCTGAAGCTGCTGATCAAATTCCTAAGTCACAGAAACAGCTAGTGATAACATGAGAAGTGAGAAAGTGTAGGTTGTAGCCTAACATGACTCAATTTGCATAACGTGTAAACGAGGCCTTGCTAGGCCTTCGTTTACATCAGAAAAGATACAGGTACTTCTCCTTTAAGTTCTCAGGAACTTTATTAATCAGTTGAACGGGACCTCTTCTTCAATCAGCTTTAATAGTACTTGAACCAAGCTTCACCACGTAATTTAAACACAGGACCACACAGCAGGATAATTCATTGTCATCAGCACAACTTCCCCGAGTCACAGCCAATGCCTATCAAATCACACCTTGCAAAAAAATCTCCGCAACTAACGTGATCTAGCAAGCCTACGACAGAGCATATGCGTACAAAGGACATAAAGTACCTGTCACAAGCTGAAGCAGCCCATTGCTGTCTACGTTGAATTTACTGTGCCACAATGCAAGTGGTAACAGACACAGAATTCTAGGGGGTGACGTTTTCCATCAGCACTCCTCATGGAGCCAGCACAGCCAATCATTTTGCACTGAAGCACCAAAACACCTTTGGTAGCAAAGCTCGAGCAGCTTTGTAGCCTACCGACTTAAGGACTGCAACTGTTACCGAAGCCGGGAGCAACCTGCTGCCGCGTACCGGCTTCGCTAGACGCTGTCAGTACCGGAGCACCGGGCGGAAGCGCTCACACAGCTCGGCCGAGGGGCTTTAGGAGCTGCGGGGCAGAAAGCCGGGCAGGCCGGGGGGCCGCAGATTTCTGGCGGGCCCGGCACCTCTCCGCGACCGTCGTCCCTAACCGGCCCGGA